GCATGAAAAATTCTTTGGTTGTAGAAGATGAGAAGGATTACTTTGTTAATATCCAGACATTCTCACACTTGGGCATTTAAAGCAATTGGAATTTTTGTTAAAAGCCAGTGACATTTGCTTAGGTCCCTTCCCCCCAGTCTTTTTAATTAAGTTTTCATTTATGTCCTGTTGATCATTGGACAAAGGAAAAAAGGGGTAAGACCCACAATGCAGTAGTGCATTGCACTGCAGTAGTACATTGGCATAAAAACCTGCAAGAAAAGAGTTCCTCATGAGATCTGTGAAAATGGAGCTTCCCTCCTTCAGATTGTGGCAAGTTTTTAGCTTGGTTTTTTTGGGGGTGTGTGTGGGGGAAGGAGAGGGTAATGAAGCCTGAGTGTAATATGGAGAATAAGAGGCAGGAGGGGAAGAGTTGTCATTTTCCCAAAACTATAAATGTGGTCACTTGAAATCTTCAAAAAGTTGTTATACACTGAAGGTGTAAAAGAGGTGTTTCCTTTTCCTTTCTCCATGCCCTGTCACATTCTCCCTTTATTATCTCGAGTCCTTCTGACTGTCTGAAAATCAACCTCCGTTCCACGATACATTGATGTTTGTTCCGCTACATTTGTCACAGTCGGGTGAACAGCATGTGAAACTTGACTCAAGTCAGTTTTTTTGGGTGGGGGTGCTAAGACTAGGTGCTTTCTGACTCGGGCTGTTTATGAGAATAGTAGCTTCAGTGTTAACCATGGAGTTGCTGCTGTTAACTTTTGGGTGCAGCAGTTGTGTGCTTAGGAATTCCATAATTCTGTGACTAATTCCAGTCAACAAACTATCTTTACAATACAACTAAAGGCAGATTAATGAAAATATGCACAGGAAAAATTTAAAAAATGGTTTAGGTTCAACCAAAGGACTTGAGATTGAAAATACCTTTGTTTCTAGTCTGAAAAGAAGTTAAGTTCATAAGTTAATAAGGGTATTCTGTGGCTTCCATTCCTGAAAATGCCATTTCCTTTTCTGTCATAGCAAGACTTTAAAGAATCTGAAGCTATTTTGACACTTCTTGCTGAAACACTTGGGTTTTGCAAATATTGAGGCTTATTCTAACATTTAAAATGTACATCTGTTCTCATATTTTCACCTAATGATGACTATACTCCTTGTACAAAGGAAGCCCTTGAAAATTGAATTTGAGCTCATTGAATTCCAAAAGACTGCTGAACCTCCAGCTGGGTTGATTCTAGAGTTTTGTTTCTAAAGACCATGTCAGTTGCCTATGGACAACGAAGGGAATTGCTGCTCCTGTTTTTGACTTTTTTTTAAACTAATTTTTGTGTTAAATAAAAGTACTTGGCATAACCAACAGGGTCAGTTGACTCCTGTGGGGGAGGGAAATTCTTTACTTTTTTTGGAAAGAGGGTTCTAGAGCCCTGAGGCTGATGCTTGAGAAGACTCTCAGCTTGGGAAATACATCATGGGGTTTGACTGGTGACCTCTGGCTTCTCAGGTCTAAGCTTAACACAAAGTGGGTACTGTTTGAAGGGATACATGAAGGATAAGCTTGCAATTTAAGTGGAAGCTCAAAGTAGTTGTGTGGTTCCTTTTGATTCCTGTAGAAAGAAGATATTGTTTTTTTTCAAAGCCAGCCCTGCCAATGCAAGAGAGGAGGGGAAGAATCAGATTAGATTTAATGTGTTTTTTCTTGCAGTTGAAACTTTACTGCTTTTCTGCATGAGAACTTGCTTTTATGAATGAGCAGTGTAATAAGACTGAAAGATATTTCCTGAATTAGTCAAATTTTATGTTCCCAAAGAAGCCACTAGAAAGAGTTTCTGAAGTGTAAACGAGGAACCTTATTCTACAAACGTAATTGGGTATAATGCTTATTGTGAGGAATACCAATGAGTTTAGTAGTACTACTCATACTAGTAAGCTTTGTCTAGTAGTGCTTGCAGGATTCAAGTGTCACATAACTAGCTGCTTCATCTTTTGCACTTCTCCCCTCTTCCCTTGCATTTCTCCCCTCTCCAGTGTCATGCATTGCAAATTAGGCTTAAAAGATTTCCTTTTTCCAGTTTACTCACCAGGTTGTTACCTTCCAGGATGTTTTCAGCTTATTTCCCTGTGGTCTTCCTTCAGCTGTCTTTTGTACTCTTAAATACCACAGAAGATGATGGTTTGACTGTCCTACTGGAGCTCTATTCTAGGACCAAACTACTATGCCTATTGCTTCCTTTTCTCTAGCACCAAATGAATTGCCTTCATTTTCAGTACGGATTTGAGTAGAGACTGCATGAAGCATATTTGTTTTGTACTGTCTTTTAAATCCTCAGGAAGCCCAGTACAATTCCAGCAATCTTAATGGATAAATGGGTTATAACCGATTAGTTTATTAGACATCATATCATTAATAAGGTTAGAATGAATATTTTTTTTGCTTGAGTATTTTCATTGTATCCATCAAGAACGCATGGGATGGAAAGAAGCTTTTATGGATAGGTGCATTAGCAGGTCAAAAAAAAAAACAAGCAGAATTTATACCAAGCAACTTAAACCTTGGTGTTTTTTATGGTCTGCTGCAGTGTTTTGGCACTGTGTGCACCAGATTTTAGGCGTGTTCTTAATTTTATGCCTGTAAGTATTCTCTCCGAAGATAAATGTGTAAGTGCCTGTAGGATTAGGGCCACCTTGAATCATTATGTTAGCATTCTAGATTGGCTTTCAATTTGGTAGACAAGTTCATGTTACTGACTTGTATCAATTTTTTAAAAAGGATACTGCAGTATTGAAATTCAAATAAGGTAACTTTCTGGGAGAGACCAGGCAAAGGGGAAAAATGGGTATGGTGTCCTGTCATTTTAAGAGAAAAATGCTAATGAAAAGTTCATTTTGTGATCTTTGAATATACTTGGTCTTTGAGTGAAGTATACTACTTAACAGTTATTAAATGACTTAAACTGAAATGTTAATGTAGTTAAGTTCATCTAGCCTGAGACCAAAGCCTTGGGGATGTGAGAGACTGCACATTCAAGTCTGCTTTTTAGGTAGTCAGGGGTTCAGACAAAAATAAATGAATGCAGAAACTGGAATTCTGCAACTGTGGGGCAGGAGAGTGTCCAAATGATGTAATTCTTCATAGTCTGAAGTGTTCCTTTGGGATCCATATTGAATATTAGTAGTGTTTTTCTGGTTTGATCTGCTATTCATCCTAGATGTATATCATCATGTTGCAGTTTATGTTTGAATATTTTATTGAGTTTTGTATAACATTACTTGCCTTTTGGAAAGTATGTTTTCTCTAAATACAATATTTAGTACTGAAGTTTTGCTACATTGCAAAGCCTGTACGTTCTGCATCAAGTGCATGAGATTTGCTGGTTAACTCCTTAGCTCCATTAGAGCAATATGGAAAACCATTAAGAGGGACATATTTCATTTTAGGCCCCAGTGGAGGAAAAAAGTAGTAAGGCTGTGTAAAGCTTCAGTCGCTGATTCTATTTGCTGGAGATTTGGCCCGATTTGGAGGCTGAATCGCCAAATTTGAATCGAATCAGGAGACCCTTTAATTTCTCTGAATTGATTGGAGAGATTTGATGATTCAGATATAGACACAGCTTTAAATGTTTATCTTCAGATTCAGGCTTGCCCGAATCAAATCAGGACAGTGATCTGAATCAACAAATCGAATCACTGTCCCCTAATTTGGGTCGAATCCAAATCGAATATGGCCTGTTCTGTACACCCTTAAAAAGTAGGTGTGCAGCGATCTAAAGACTTCTGCTGTGCATAATAGCAACAACATATGTCTGCAGTGGTGTCCTGATAGAAGCCAAGGAAATGTCATATGCTTACAAAGTACAATAAAAATTGAAAGTTAATGTAAGGAGCTATTAATAAACTTGACTGAATATTTAATCTTAAAACATAATTTTGTTATAGATTCTTTATGCTGTAGCTTTAATGAATCTATCTCCCAACATTGTGCTTGATAGAGACAATAGGGAAGTCTGTTTTAAGCAGGGGAAAAAAATCCACGTAACCATACTGGCTTTTAGCCTATTAATTAGAATTAGAGATTTATTTTTAAGTCTACATCTGTACTGCTTGCTGCATCTGTTAGTATGACTCATGCTTCAGCAGATCAGGATGGATGAAATTTAAGTAACTTCAGAAAAAAAAATCTGTTGCAGAACAGTAGACCTGCTACTGAATGAATAATGCTGATAGATGTTTACAATTCTTATATGCAATTCCTTAATCATAGATTTGGTTAGGGGATAACTGAAATATGAGGAATCTAAAATATTTTCTCTATTAACACAGGTAAGATTCTAGGAAAGTGCTTAGTCTTTAAGCAGCTTTCCACTTTGAGAAAATATATTTTGCCCTAATTTAACTGTAAAGCTATGATTTTGTTGTTGTTGTTCTAGCTTGAGTGATCTTCTGTATATCATTTCAAATAGAAATAGATATACAGTGTGTATGATTTTTTTTTTAAATCAGTTTACATCTGAAGGGTTGTCTTAATCAGGTTTGAAGTTGGGTTTGTGGGAGAAGAAAACAGAAGAGTTGGATGGGTGGAGATTTTGCAGGTTTATTTTTTAATTATTTGAACAATTCAGTATTGGGAAATAACTTGTTCACTGCTTTTTTGTCTCACTCTGTTATGTTGTCTGTCTTAAATTGCAAGCTTGTTTTGATAGGGATCTCTCCATCCCCTGTGTGTGCACTACCTAGCACAGGCCAGCCCTGATCTTTGATTAGGACCATGTATGCTGCTGAAGTCAAAATATTATCTTGTTCTTGTTGCATGCTAGAAAATTTTGTTTTTTGTGTACTTAATGGGAAATGGGAAATGTCAAAATGGTACAATGCTTGATGCTGAAGTTTATAGTAGACACACAGTCACAGTCTAAAGACATGTATAGTCAATATTTGGTGTGTGAATTATATACAAATGTGATATTTCAAGGTACCCACATTAACTCCTTGTTTTGTTTTGTTTTTTTGTCCAGCCCCTTTTATGGAGAAGATTTTTACTGTGAAATTCCTCGGAGTTTTCGTCACCTGTCATTTTATATTTTTGATAGAGATGTTTTCCGAAGGGATTCCATAATAGGTATGTGTTTTATTAAATGGCATTAAATGTGTTTTTATTTACAGCTTTTCATTTATAGATTCAGTATTTCTCATGCTCATCAGAATATATTCAACTCTTTGAGTTCAGGTTTGTTTTGTGCAACAATGACAGTGAGAAGTAGTTATCTATTTTTTGTGGGGGGAGGTCGGTGTGTATTGGTGCAGTCTTTACAGTACTTTATCTCAGAAGACCCAAAAACACATTAAAATTTTTGTGCAACATAGAATATTAGGGTTGGAAGGGACCTCAGGAGGTCATCTAGTCTACAACCCCCTGCTCAAAGCAAGACCATCCCCAACTAAATCATCCCAGCCAAGGCTTTGTCTAGCCAGGTCTTGAAAACCTCCAAGGATAGAGTCCACCACCTCTTTGGGTAACTTCTACCAGTGTTTTACTACCCTTCGAGTGAGAAATTTGTTTCCTAATATCTAACGTAAACTTCGGTTGCAGCAACTTGAGACCATTGCTCCTTGTTCTATCGTCTGTCACCACTGAAAACAGTTTAGCCCCATGCTCTTTGTAACCCCCCATCAGGTAGCTTAAGGCTGCTATCAAATCCCCTCTGTCTCCTTGTCTCTAGAATTAAATAAGCCCAGTTCCCTCAGCCTCTCATAAGTCATTTCTCCCAGCCCCCTCACCATTTTTGTTGCCCTCCACTGGACACTTTCCAATTTGTCCACATTCATTCTGTAGCGGGGAATGCAAAATTGAACACCATACTCCATATGTGGCTTCACCAGTGCTGAATAGAGGGGAATTTCCCTCGCTTTCCCTCATTTCCTTAGTCTTGCTGGCAACACTTCTACCAATGCAGCCCAGGATGCTGTTAGCCTTCTTTGCAACATTTTAATATAAATGTATGTAATAGATATGTCATCTTTCTCACTCCTAACAGGACAGAGTAACAGAGTAACTTAACAGAGTAACTTAACAGGAAAAATGCCTATAAAAACCAGAGAAAACATGAAATAAAAACACAATAAGTAATATCCAGGTCTAGCTTTGTTTGCTAAACACCCATCCACAAAGGAAAGTCTTACAGTGATCTTCATAGATGTCTAGGCTTGGTCTCTGGCACACCTTACGGAGGAAGGAGTTTCAGGGATGAGGAGCTGAGAGTGACCACACCACATGGTTTTGCCAAGCAGTTTTGGCACATTGATGGGACTTGCTGGAGAATGCTTTTGGCTGACCTTAAGAATTGTAATGGAGCATGAGGGAGAAGGCAATAGGGGCAAGACTATTTAGAGCCTTTTAGGTCAAAACCAGCACCTTGAATTCTGCCCAGAAAGCTATTAGGAGTCGATGCAAACTCTGGAGCACTAGAAGTCCTGGCAGTTCACCCCTGTCAGAAGACAGGTTACTGCATTTTGCACCAGCTTCAGTTTCTAGGTGGTCTTCAGGGGCAGTTCCACTGAGAGTGCATTGTAATGATAATCCTTGAGATTGAAGTCATGGAGGATGGTGTCCAGATCTGAATTGGAAGTCAAGGATCACGGCTTCTCCACAGCTTCTCGCCTTATGGAGTTGGTGAAAGAGGTAGAGATGGGTGTCATCAGCATCCTGATGATACCTCACTTCAAATCTCTGCAGTCCCTCACAGTAGCATCAGATACGTTGACTAAGAAGGGCTAGAAAATCAAGCCCACGGGGAGCCTCACAAGAAAGGTCCTAAAGGGATGTCAGGTACCATGCTCTGGGACCTTCCCTACTACAAAGAGCAGAACCAATATAGAGCTGTCCCATGAATACCTACTAGACCATGTAAATGGTTTAACAGCATCTCAGGGTCAAGTGGATCAAAGACCACTAAAAGGTTTGGTGAGATCACCAGGGCACAGTTTCCCCTGTTAATCTCCAAGTGAAGATCATCTCTTGCAACTGCGGTTTCAGTGCTATATCCAGGCTAAAAATCAAACTTGCATGGGTCCAGGATTCCAGTGGCTGGAGGCTGGAGCTGTTGGATAGCCATTCATTCCCCAAGAAGGGGAGGTTGGAGACTAGGCAGTAATTGGCTGGAGAGTCAGTGTCAAGTCATGTTGTCTTGAGTAGGAGCTGGACAATTGCAGGTTTAAGAATGCACAGCACTTGGCTATTCCAAAGGGAGGCACTAGTGACAGTCACCACTAGTACTAGTGTCGTTCTCCCCTGGAGTTTTGTGGGTGGTTTTTATTTCTGTTTCTCCACTCTTAAATTAACAAAATAGCAAATTATCCAAGTTCCAGCTTTCACAAACTCATGTCTTTGCACGGTTAAATATTTTCTATTAACATATAGCAACAAAAAATGCTATTTATACAAGAAAGTTTAGAGGTGTAAAGGAACCGTAATTCAGTTTCTCAACTTGTTTTCATGTAAGATATAAAAAACAACTGTGAAGTTGAGGTATCTTACCTTTTTATAGAAAAAAATGATGAATCTGCATGTGGAAGCAAAGATACTATAAAGAGGCAGACTGATAGCTGGGTAACATCACTCAACAAGAATTAAACATGTTAAATGTATTGTGTTTTTACAGTATATTTTCACTTTCTCTTTATATACTTTCCCCACAACAAACTTTTTAGCAAAGCATATATTCCTTGTTGAGATCTACAGACTTGCTGTGTGTGTGTCGAGGGAACCATAGCTTTGAACTCTTACTTCTGTAGATGTTACATTTTTACTTTAGTACTGCATTTTATTTCCTGTTGGTTGCATAGTTGTACCCTGACTTTTTTCTAGAGCCTGATTCAAAGACATTGTGTACCGAGTTTGTGATGTGACTACTTGTTTCATGTCCACAATATATATATTGTGTGTGTTGGATTTACATTTTTGAGGGTTAAGGCTAGGTTAGGTGTTAGGCTGGTAGCATTTGTTTTTAATAATAATTTAGTGTTTGTGGGGCATTGTTATATTATTTATTTTGGTTGGAGTGACTATAGCTTTGAATAAGTATTTGCTTCTTCAGATAAGAAATATATTTCTTTTTGTGATCAGTTGCAATAGCAAATTCGCCAGCATTCAAGGTAGAAGTGTGTAGAAAATATAAAGCCATGAGTTAGCAAAAAAAGTTACTTCAGACAATATTTATTCCTCTTTGTTTAAGCCTCTCAACAAAAAAACAACCCAGAAAGATGCACATTTATGTAGCAGATAATTTTTTAATGTGTAACAAAGGTTGTTGTTGGTTTTTTTTTTTTGGTTTTTTTTTTGCTTTGGCGGATGAAAGGATTGTACAGATAAATGCATCTGTGGTTTTGCATATTTCATTGCTTTATTGGCATTTTCCTAAAGTTAACTTGCTAAGTCATTTAGGATTTTATTAGCTGAACTGACGATAAAGCTGTGGACAACTGTTCCTTGGAAGCAATGTGGAATGCAAACATAATGGACAAAAATGCCGGGCCTAATTACTCTGAAACGTGAAGAGAGTGTATGTGCATGCCCATTTTCTATTGCCTACTTCATGGGTAATAAATGACTGTTAAACTGTTCTTAGCTTTCACACATTCTTGTTTTGCCTTCCATAGTGGTATTCTATCAGTATTTACTGGTTTTAAAACATAGTGAGAGGCTTTCAGTAAAAAAGTTACTAGTACCAATAAAACCTAGTACCATTCTCATTAGGCTTCATTGTTTTGTGAGAGAATAACCAGCTTACCTATTCTTCGCTTAAAATAAAATAATGTGTTTTTTCTCTTCCTAGCCCTGTTAATTATGCTCCAAATGAATCAGATCAGTGATGAGCACAGAAAACCAGATATGGTACCTGTAAGAGATACAATAATAGTCATCTACCATTTTGAATCTGAAAGGGATTCAGAGGGTCAATTTGGAAAATTATTGATACTTAATGAACCTCCTTTGTATTAGGCAAATGAGATGTGTCTGGGTGGGTACAAGTAGCAGAAGAAAAGAGTAATGACACAGTGATACTATTATAGATAGCAGCTATGAAAATGCATGTGTTGATTAGTTTTGAAACTGGGTATTCCTGTTTTAGTTTTGATTAATATGTGGTGGAAGTATTAAAAGAGATACCATAAAATAGGGCAGGTAATGCCAATACTTTGTAGAGAAAGGCTTTTTCTTTAAGTTAGTCCAGTACCTAAAAAAGTAACTGACAAGAACCATCTCCACTGTAGGCCCCAGGCCGGTATTCCCATGGGTTTGTAATAAACAGTTCAGGATGCAGGTCTGTGACCTTGAGTATATAGATCACACAAAAACAGGAAACATGCCACCTCAGTTCATTTAGCATTACACTAAAAGCATAGCTCATACTGAATATTGGTTACATGAATTATTCTCTACTTAAATCGCAAATGTGGCAGGAAACAGTAATTGCAAGACTATTTATTTTGGAAACTTATTCCCATAACTCTGGCATGAGAACTTCTTCTATTTTAAGCACGTTTGTGTTCATGTGTGTGTGGGGAGGGGGTTGTGTATATTTCTACATACACAGAGGGGAACTTGGATATAACAAAATCCTGCTTATTGTGGAGTTCTGGGGTAGAGGAGTGACTTCACACTTGTGGGAAAATCCTTGTCCTCTTGTGTGTGGAAAAGGAGCTCTTAAAGCTTTTAAAATATTGTCACTGTATTATATAACTGTTTGGAAGATTAGGTTGGTATACTGGGGGTGTATGTGAGAAGGTGGTCCTTGATGGGTCCAAAACAACCATCTCCTAAACTGTTTAAGTGGTGAGACAAGGGACTCATGGAGTTTGACCTCATACATGGTTCCCTGCTATGTAACATTCCACTGATTCGCAATTCCAGTCTGCATGGTGTCTGCAAAGCTGGCTTTGAGGTATGTAGGTAAAATGCACTGCTTCTGCATCCCAGTTCTGGCAGGTTGCACCCTTCCCTTCATATTACTTTCCACTGCTTCCTCATGGACGACCTGTGGCAAACTAAAGCCAATTAGAAACACATTTGTCTTTGTTACCTCTGATTTTGGTTTATTCTAATCTGAATCTGCTGCTCTA